CTCCCAGTAACAGCGTCCACACACACTCTCTCTACACAACACCTGTGACCACTCATCAAATCTGTCTCGATGATCAGGATATGGCTGATCTGTGCCAGTGTTAGTAATCACTCTGTTGCTCTCAGACAGACGGAGTCGTTTATTCACAGTGTTCAGATCCAGAGTGAGCTGATGGGAATCTGATGGAGATAAAACACATCAGAATCAGGAATTATGAATCTGTTTGATCTTTTCATGTAGCTGAACTCTTCGTGTTCAGTGTATCATCAGTGTCCCAGTGCAGATGACCAGATATCCTGTGCAAATCATAATTTACTAGGGCTGCCCCCTAATAGATGCTTAGTCAATCACAATTTTATTAGTCGCAGGGGAAAAAAATGAAGTCAAAAGTGAAGTCAGTAGTCCGTGACGGACAGGTCATTAACAGCTGGTCTGTGTGGTAATTACAGCACATCGGTCAGGACTAGGGGTGTGCGATATATATATCGTCTGCGATAATATCGAAATTGTCGTTTTAACGATGTGCAATTTGACATTATCGAGCATATTGCAAAAACCATGCAAAACACACTACAGAGTGCACGCATTCATCACGTGATGAAGTTTAGCAGGTTAGAATAATGCGCGTGCGCATTTACAGTGCATTCTTTCACTGCATGATTCAGTCTATTTAAAACATTTAGAATGATCACAAAATTTAAGATATGGGGGCAGAAAATGTATATATTTATATCATTTCATATAGTTAATATCACAAGAAGAGTGCTGGTTTCTTCTCCAAAGTTTAGCATTATTACAAATGTGATATTGATTTTTTAAAACAGTTCAATAAACAAGAAGTTAGTTAATATTAATGGATTTACGTTTTAGACACCATATTGCCAGTTTTTGCTCTATTTCGACAACAAAAATAATTCAAAACAAAGCTACAGCACTGTTTTGTGTCTCTGAGCAACATGACATGTTTCGTTTCTGAATGAATCAACCGTTAAAAATGATTTGGTTCAGTCGCAATGACTCCCTTATTAAAAGTGACTTGCTGCCTCCTGCTGGCGGTTTTAATTTCACATTTAAAGTATCTTTTCTTTTTTATATAATTTCAGATATCAGTATTCAACGTTTTAGGTTTAATATATCAAAACATTATGTATGCATTTGTAACTGCAGGTTAAATGGCTTTATAAAGGTTACAAAAATGCCCATAAAAATGTAAAAATCAATTTAAACTTGTTGGAAAAGATTAATTTCTGTCTCTGCTGTGAACTGACCACCACACAAGAAGAATATCAAAAATTTAGGAGTCAGCTGTCCACGGTACAATAACACACTCAGCAAAATATCGCCTAATTATCATTATCAATAAAATCCCACAAAATATCGTGATATTTTTGTCAATATCGCACACCTCTAGTCAGGACATGCAAACGTTTGTTTCGATCATCGACCTCAAATATGGCTTATAATCAGAAACATGTAAGTAGTAGCCTCATTACATGGCCACTCAATCTAATGTTATCCTATAAATGTGCGCTATTTGTGTTTGTGCGGAGTGTGGAAGCTGAACAGTAGCGCTCACTGCATGACCGGTGTGATCATTTGCATTTAATTTAAAATGCTCTGTCATTTTTGGTCATACAGAAAAGAGTAATACATCTTTCGAATGTGTTAAACGTCTACTTTCATTTGTGTGCACTCACAATAACAACAAAACGTTGTGCTTTTGTAAAATAATGAAAGCAAACAGGGTGCACTTTCTGCCGCCTAGGTCTCTGTGAACTTCAGCGCATCAAAAAATTGTTTTTAATATATATATCAACCGAAACTTCGTGCTTGCCTCACAGACATGAAAAATATATCTACAGAAAGTGAAATGTCTACTTTTAAATGAACCAATTCAAATGGAAAACAAATATTTGCTGATTATTTAATCCGTATGAAACGTGTACGTCCACTGTGGAGATGAAGAGTCTGTGTCGACTTCATCACTACAGCCGAAAATACCAAAAGCCCTAGTTTATCAATGAATTATTATGAGGTTAAGGCAGTCTTCTTGCTGTTTTTTTCCCTGTAGCATTCATAATCATTACTTCTGCGGTGCTCTGTGGCAAACTTTATGCTTGCGCTTGAGCGCTGATAGGCTACAGGCATTAAGGGCTCATTATTGTGACTTATATGGTTAATTAATATAAACGTGTGATTAGTCAACTAATCGATTCAAATGAACGACTATTAGTCGATCAGAAAAAAATTTAGTCGAGGGCAGCCCTATCATTTACATCATTTATAAAACTCTTCTTTCACCTTCTACAGGAAGAACATGAACACACTCAGTGAGTTTTTTCTGCTGGTTTTCTTACTGACTTACATTGTAGGAAGTCGTTCCTGGTCCAGAGAACAATGTTGGTGAATGTTACTGTGGAAATCAACAGACATGAATAGTGTGATTCTCATTATCCTGTATCCATTCATATGACATTTCTAATATGATGTTCTCCATGATATGAGATGATGATTGTTTCTGAGAGCAGATGAATCTCCAGGACTTTACCTCTGTCTGAGATCTTCTTGAGCTCCTCTTTGCAGAAATCCTCCAGTTTGTCTTTCAGCCGTTGGACAGATTCTCTCAGATCATCAAAAGAGACAAGAGAACTGAAGGGATCATCATTTACGTCTGTAGATTCAGGAGGTGCTGAGAGAGACTGGAAACTCTACAGAAAACAAAACTCATCAGATCAGCTCCACACTTCACCCAATAACCTGCACCAACATCAGATTTGTGCGGCTCTTGTTGACTCGACTGATCTTTAGTAACTCACCTCAATCCAGCACTTTCACAGCATCAGCTTCATTCTTCTCATATTCATTATATCACATTAGAGCTACAGATTCTAGTATTTGTCACTTACACTCTATGTGAACTTTCTAGGAAATAGTTTGGATGATAAAACATCTGCTAAAAACATAAATGTCAATCTAACAGCTCAAACACATCAATGGAGTCTCATTGTAGGGTTGAGTAGATTTGCTCAGGAAAAGCAGCTTAAAGGCTACGATTGTCATAAAGCAAGGCCAGACACAACGGGTAAGTGAAAGACAGGATGGTTTATTGAGACAGGATGTGGAGGAGTGGAACGGGTTAGGTTAAGGCAGGTGAGTGTCAACAGAGTGAATGATTCCAGGGTTCTTATCTGAGTTCTGAGGGTGAGTGTCTGATGCCGGTTTCGTGGGAGATCGTGGAACAGCTTCCAAGGAGTCGTTGGAGGATCGCGGGAGAACCAGAAGGTAAGTCTTTCTAGGAGAATATCGTATTCCCCTGTCAGAGACTACATCCTCGGGGACTCTGAAGTTTCTGAAGACGTGAGTGAATAAACTTTCAGCAGTGTCGAGAGCGGTTGGAAGTCCTGGGAGGGGGATTAGCTTACAGGCTTTGGAAAAACGATCTACGACCACCAAGATGCAGGTATTCCCCTCTGAGTTGGGTAAGTCAGTCACAAAATCGATTCCCAGGTGAGACCAGGGTCGATGGGGAATCGGCAGGGGCACTAGCTTGCCTACGGGGAGGTGACGAGGGGTCTTGGACATGGCGCAGACTGAGCAACCTCGGACGTACCTGATGACATCCTGGGTCATACTGGGCCACCAGTACCGAGCTTGGAGGAGCGAGAGGGTCCGTTGGCTGCCTGGGTGTCCAGAGCCCGGTACGTTGTGAACGTAGCCCAGAAGGGATTGTCGTTGGGGAGTGGGCACATACGTTTTCCCTTCTGGGCCTCCCGGCGGAGCAGGTTCGGTAAGAGTGGCAGCTCGAATGTCCTCGTCGATGTTCCATTGAATGGGGCTTACAATGAAGGCTGGAGGGAGAATGGGCTCCGGATCGGAAGGTGTGTCTGGGGAGTGCATGCGTGAGAGGGCGTCGGCTTTACTGTTACGATTCCCGGGTAGGTGATGGTGAACTGAAACCGAGTGAAGAACAATGCCCAGCGGGCTTGGCGTGGGTTAAGTCTCTTGGCTTCTCTGAGGTATTGGAGATTTTTGTGGTCGGTAATGACTGTGAACGGATGGTTTGCTCCCTCCAGGCAGTGCCGCCACTCATCCAGGGCAAGTTTGATGGCCAACAACTCCCGGTTGCCAGTGTCGTAATTCTGCTCCGCTGGGGTCAGCTTCTTAGAATAGTATGCGCAAGGCTGGAGGCTCACCATAAAGTTGGGACAGCACGGCCCCAACGCTGGTGGTGGAGGCATCCGCTTCCACTACGAACGGCATGTCCGGGTCAGGATGATGAAGGATGGGGGCCGTGCTGAAGGCTGTTCTTAGTCTAGTGAGAGCTTCGTGGGCGCTGGTGGTCCAGGACAGGGACTTGGGTTTTCCTCGGAGCATGGAAGTCAAAGGAGCAGTGTGGGAACTGAAATCCTTGATGAATCGACGATAGAAGTTAGCAAATCCTAGAAATCTCTGAAGCTCCTTTACGGTCTGGGGAAGAGGCCACTCCTTGACTGCATCAACCTTCCCCTGATCCATCTGAATCCCTTCCTGGCCGACGATGTAACCCAGGAAATGCACCGTGGGGCGATGGAATTCGCATTTCCCCAGCTTCAAGAAGAGATGGTGTAAACGGAGCTTCTGTAGGACCTGCTGAACGTGTTGGCGATGGTCGGCCACGTTCCGGGAGTAAATGAGTATATCGTCGATGTAGACAATCACAGAGCGGTGGAGGAACTCCCGGAACACCTCGTTCATGAACCCCTGGAAGACCGACGGGGCGTTGGCTAGCCCATACGGCATGACAAGGTACTCATAGTGGCCAGATGGTGTAATGAATGCCGTCTTCCACTCGTCGCCCTCCCGGATTCGAACGAGGTTGTAAGCGCTTCGCAGGTCCAGCTTGGAGAAGATGCAGGCCCCACGGAGTTCCTCGAGGGCGGCCGGGACCAGGGGAAGTGGATAGGGCAGTTTCACAGTATGGGAGTTCAGAGTCCTATAGTCGATACACGGCCGCAAGCCCCCGTCCTTCTTGCCCACGAAGAAGTGCGCAGTATAGACACAGACCGGCCGCGAGACGGCGAGCACGTTCCGACGGGGTGAGCCGGGAGGTGTCCACTTGCATCGGCTCTGGTACTGGGGAACCCGTGCCGGGCGTGACAGACTGGTGGGCGGCTTCGGTGGCGTGGCAGGCGGACAGACGTTGGGAAATTCGGTTGGCCTTTTGCATGAAGCTTTCCAGTCCAACGGAGTCATCATAGATAGCCATTTGAGCTTGTACATGGGGATTCAATCCTCACCGGTAAGAGCTAATTAGGGCCACCTCATTCCAGCCGCTAGTCGCCGCCAGCGTTCTGAACCGCAGGGTGTAGTCGTGAATGGATGACGTGCCTTGGCGCAGCCGCAGTAACTGGTCGGATTTGTATTGGTCCGGTCTTCTGTCATAAAGCAAGGCCAGACACAACGGGTAAGTGAAAGACAGGATGGTTTATTGAGACAGGATGTGGAGGAGTGGAACGGGTTAGGTTAAGGCAGGTGAGTGTCAACAGAGTGAATGATGCCAGGGTTCTTATCTGAGTTCTGAGGGTGAGTGTGGGAGATCGTGGAACAGCTTCCAAGGAGTCGTTGGAGAATCGCGGGAGAACCAGAAGGTAAGTCTTTCTAGGAGAATATCGTATAGAGAGTCCAGAACAGTCCATAGGAGTGAACGGTAGACCGGACAGTGAGTGACTGTGATGTGTGTGTATTTGTAGTGTGGCTTGATTGGTGACAGCAGGTGCGGGTGATCAGAACTCAGGTGACTGTGATCGGGTGATTATCCTGGCTGGTGACTGCAGTGACTGTGATGAATCCCTGACAACGATTAAATTGACCTTTATTTATAACTTTAGAGTGGTTAGAGATACTGAAACTTCACAAGGACCCTTAAGACACGCTCAGGTTTGGTTTGGTTTCAATACACTGAAGCATTGCTAATATGCAGCCTGACTTCGTGTTTGGGGTCTTCATGGTCAAATTCATCAATATGTTACAGGCAAATAAAAATCTATTTTATTAGGTTTGAGGATCATCTGATCCAATTTTGATGAACGTTACTCAGAATCAGTACTATCGAGTTCACGGTTTTCACCATGATGTATTAAATCAGAAGGAAAAATTAGGTAAAAAGCTGAAATGTTAGTGAAGTTTTGAACTGTTGGTGGCGCTAGTGGTGTTTGACAGCTAAATATATCTTTCAGAAGAAAGAGCTCAGATAAATTATTCCTAAGAGATTTCCAGAGCTGAAAGCTATTTGTAAGCGGCATCTCTTTCAGAAGAAGATGATCAGATGAGAGTCTGACTGATGATTATATAATAAGACACTCATGAAATGTTTCTCTGTGAGTCTCTGTCACAGCAGGATCTGCTCAAGTCCACTATGATCCTGTTCTCCTAGATCTCTGTTACCTGCAGGAACTGGATGTGATCCTGTGTGTGTGAAAGCTGCTCCAGCTCAGCGTCTCTCCTCCTCAGATCATTGATCTCCTGCTCCAGTCGCTCCAGTCGTCCTTCAGCTCGACTCACTGCAGTCTTTTCCTGATCTCTGATCAGCCGTATCAGCTCAGAGCAATTTCTCTCAATGGAGCAGATGAGCTCAGTAAAGATCCTCTCACTGTCCTCCACTGCTGTCTGTGCAGAGCGCTGTTAGGACACACAGTGATTCAGGCTTCAGTGAGTCTGAACTGAGACTGAGACAAACTTCTCTTCTTCTCCAGACTCACCTTATGAGACTCCACAGCCTCTCTCAGCTGCTGAAGATCTTTCTCTCTCTGCTGGATTCTCTGCTGGAACGTCTTCTGCGTCTCCTTCAGCTGCTTCTGCAGGACAAACAGATGATAGTGAATGTCACAGAAAACTACTGGCACTAAATCATCATGTGAACAGATGAATCCAGTAAAAGTGGAGTGAGGCAGTTTAAAGGTTACTTATCTAAACTGATAACCAATGGCTGTAGGATCAAACTCCAGAAGTGATGATCGGTTACAATAATCATACATTA